TGCATATATGTATAGGTTTAGTATTAAGGTAGCAGATGGACATTGGGTCTCCACTCAAGTGCTCCCTCAATGCAAGAACACTTTGTTCTATTAAACTGGCATTCCATGATGCTCACCTTCTCAACACAATCACTGAAGACAAAGTGGGTGTATAAGCAAATATGTGAAGAAACCTGATGGAGCCTGGCTATCAAAAGATATAGCGTCTGGGGTCTTAAATACTTGAAGGTAAACAAGCAGCCATCTAGCTCACAAGCAACAAAACCCACATGGAAGAAGTACACCAGCCTGTGTGATCACAGGTGTGGAAGGGATCAGTTATCAGGCACCGAAGAACAAAAAATAATATTATGTGCTCACCTCCCTGATACGATGCCTGAAGACAAATGGGTGCATAAGCAAATGTGGTGAAGAAAGCTGATGGTGCCCAGCTGTCAAAAGATATAGCATCTGAGGTCTTAAAGGCTTGAAGGTAAACAAGTGGCCAGCTAGCTTAGAAGCCCAAAGCCCACATGGAAGAAGCACACCAGTCTGTGTGATCACGAGGTGCCGAAGGGATCAGGCATCAGGCATCATCAGACAAAAAATCATATCATTGTGAATGAGGGGGAGTGCAGGGTGTGGACCCAAAGCCCATTTGTAGGCAACTGGAGATTCCCTTATGGAAGGGTCGTGGGGAGATGAGCCAGTCAGGGTGCAGGGCAGCAACGATGAAACATACAACTTTCCTCTAGTAAAGTTTATGTATGTATCTAGTTCCTAAATGCTTCCTCCCCACCCACTATCATGATCCCAATTAAAAAAAAACAACAAAAAAACTGTCTAGCCTGAAATCTTTAGGGAAGCAGGTCACCATGTCTTTCTCCTGCAGAACAACAGCATGCGTTCAAAGTGTCCTTCAGACTAGCAGTCTAGCGCCCAACCAGGAAAACAACTGGAAATGGAGAATTGCGATAGTTGCACCACATGGTTAACTTAGGTAATGAATTATACCTACTGTATATACTTGAGTATAAGCCGAGTTTTTTCAGCACTTAAAAAAAATCATTTTATTAGGGCTCATACAACTCTTAACACAATCCATACATACATCAATTGTGTAAAGCACATTTGTACATTCATTGCCCTCATCATTCTCAAAACATTTGCTCTCCACTTAAGCCCCTGGCATCGGCTCATTTTCTCCCCTCCCTCCCTGTTCCCCCCTCCCTCATGAACCCTTGATAGTTTATAAATTATTATTTTGTCATATCTTGCACTGTCTGACATCTCCCTTCACCCACTTTTCTGTTGTCCGTCCCCCAGGGAGGAGGTTATATGTAGATCCCTGTAATCGGTTCCCCCTTTCTACCCCACCCTCCCGGTATCGCTACTCTCACCACTGATCCCGAAAGGATCATCCGCCCTGGATTCCCTGCATTTCCAATGTACATCGTCTGGTCTAGCTATACTTGCAAGGTAGATTTGGGATTATGATAGTGGTGGTGGTGGTGGGGGGGAGGAAGCACTTAGGAACTAGAGGAAAGTTGTATGTTTCATCATTGCTGCACTGCACCCTGACTGGCTCATCTCCTCCCTGTGTCCAATTGCCTACAGATGGGCTTTGGGTCTTCACTCCGCACTACCCCTTATTCACAATGATATTATTCAGCACATTTTTAATGCTGAAAAAGGCCCCCAGGTTTTTGTGGTAAAACTAGGTGTGTCAGCTTATACTCCAGTATATACAGTACATGTAATGTTTAAAATGGCCAAGGATGTGGTTATATATTTCACAATAAAAAATTTTTTTAATGACCTGAAGTCCTATTAATAAAAATACCAACCCTGGGACTGCTTGAATGGGATAGGACCTTTATAAAGCTTTTGCTTGCTTTTAACTTTCCACATGTTCCCCTGTGCAGCCAACTTGGAGAAAGACTGCCTTACCGTGGGGCTTCACAAAAAGAAACCCAACTCACTGCCATCAAGTCAGTGCTGACTCATAGTGAACCCCTGTGGGTTTCCAAGACTGTAACTGTTTAGGAGAGCAGAAAGCCCAGCCTTCCTCTCAGAACTGCTGGTGGTTTTGAACTGCTGACCGTGCAAATTGCAGCCCAACAGCGTAACCACTACACCACTTTTCCCTAATTGGCTGCAACTGAGTTGATTCCTGGTCTGTGGGGACGCATTCCTCAGCAGTTTCCTCAACCTCTGGCAGTCCCTCGCAATTCTGGCTGACTCCTGACAAGCTTCACTCATAGCTCGCCCACACTTGCCTTTAAACCCTGCAAATGGCTGCTTAAGTCCTTTAGCCTCCGAGTCATGTTTCAACTTTCAAACTGGTAGGAACCATCTTCAAAAGCTTTCGGCATGACACTCATCTGCACCGTCTCCAACGGTATTCCCGTGATCGCACAGTAAAACAACAGATAAGCTCACTGGCGGGTAAACATTAGTCAGAATAAAGGCACAAATACTGGTTCTTCTCCTCCCAGGTATCCTAAATGTTGACACATTCCCTCAGCCCTCCCTCCTGTGGCTTCTCTTCTTCTCCAGGAGAATCCGAAGGACTACTCTACGCCCTCACCCTTGCCCAAGGGGAATCCAACACACAGCAGTCCCACACAGGATGTCCAAAGTTGCAAATGTTTATGGAGGCAGAGCAGCTGGTGGGTTTGTACAGCTGGCCTTGTAGTTAGCAGGGTTCACACCACACTCCTCCCAAAGGAGACCTCCTCCTAGCCCCCCTTGCTGTCTGGCTGGTGATAGGGTGTGCAGGACCTGGAACCCTCGGGACTCCCTCATGCTTGCTGACACTCACCATCAGTCTCAGAGCTTACAAGACGGAAGACACATCATGCCTTCGGATTTCAGATTTGGCCTTATTCCAGAACAGTAACAAATCCCACTTGATACTATTCTGAGGTGCTTAAAACTTCTCATTTTAGTTTCTCTATCTAGTTTCAGAGGTAACCATCAAGACTCATTGGATCACCCTTATGTCGGCCATAAAATTAGCTGAGAAGGTGGGGGGGCGTCACTACCAGTAAGAGCAAGGAGGGGAGCATGTCCTCTGGATCTAAAACCACTGCACAGTGAATCTCCTAGATTCAGAAGATGGCGTGACATCAAAGAAGCCACAGCAGAAGCCGGAGTCAGAGGATGAGTGAGTGGTGGACTTCAAGCCCACAGAACAAGTAAAACCACAACTAGAAAATCATCAATATCATAGCATTTAATGGATAATTCCTGCTGGTATCAGTATTATTTTATGGGGGGAAAAAAGTATTGCTACTAGAGGCCCAGTTCATATGTGCATAGATTTATTCCAAACATGTTCAAACCAGTCTCCGTGATGGGGGATGGCTACAAGAAAGTTCTCTTATTAATACAGTGGTCTTCATTTCACTGGGGGCCCTTCAAAATTAAAAAGATCTGATCAAAACAAAGCTTCTGAGATCTGCTAGGCCAGTTTCATTCATTCAAGGCAGAGTAGACAGCCCGGTTGTAACAACCGCACTTTGGATTCTCAAGAGGTCATCTGACAAATCTTAAAGAACACGGGATGATCACCGGGCTTATTATGAAGCTGGGTGTTTGTATGTTTTTTAATGGAGCTGCTTTAAGAATATCAAAAGCTGCATTCATGATAAAATGGCCTGAGGGCTTTCAGTCATCACAGCAGGGAGCCCACTCATTCCTCATGGGTGGCAAGAATTCTATTGGGAAACCTTACCCCATCTGCCCCTACAGCCCTACATTGCCACTCAAGATTACTTTTCGTTTGCCAAACGTCAAAGAACATCTCATCAAAACGATTTGAGCTGTTCCAGGATGTCACTGTTGTTTTAGCAAATTGAGAGCATAGAAGTCTTCAGGGAAGTTAGAGATTGACCTGCTGCCTTCAGAAGTATATACAGATCTACACGGAGGCTATGCTTGATGAAGTATATACAGATCTACATGGAGGCTATGTTGATGAAGTATATACAGATCTACATGGAGGATATGAAGTATATACAGATCTATGTGGAGGATACGTTGATGAAGTATATACAGATCTACATGGAGCATATATGGATAAACTATATACAGATCTATGTGGAGGATATGTTGAAGTATATACAGATTTATGTGGATGATATGTTGAAGTATATACAGATCTACACGGAGGATATGTTAATGAAGTATATACAGATCTATGTTGAGGATATGTTGAAGTATATACAGATCTACATGGAGGATATGTTGAAGTATACACAGATCTACATGGAGAATATGTTAATGAAGTATATACAGATCTACATGGAGGCTATGTTGAAGTATATACAGATCTACGTGGAGGATACATTGATAAACTATACAGATCTACATGGAGGATATGTTGATGTATATACAGATCTCTGGAGGATACGTTGATGAAGTATATACAGATCTACATGGAGGCTATGTTGAAGTATATACAGATCTATATGGAGGATACGTTGAAGTATATACAGATCTACACGGAGCATACGTTGATAAACTATATACAGATCTACATGGAGGATATGTTGATGAAGTATATACAGATCTACATGGAGGCTATGTTGAGGTATATACAGATCTACGTGGAGGATACGTTGATGAACTATATACAGATCTACGTGGAGGATATGTTGAACTATATACAGATCTACCTGGAGGATATGTTGAGGAACAGTGGCTTCACATTGTAATATTTGTTTAATGAAGGTTTCTATGAATTTTCAGGAACATTTTTTGACTCACCCTCATACATTTAGGTTACAGTAGCTGCTTGGTTAAGTCACTTAATGAAATGTTAAGGGGAGAATGGACAATGTGTTATGAAACACAAGAGCTAAGCAAAGGAGCTTTTAATACTGAAGTAAGAGTGAAACAAAGAACTCTTCTCATATTTCTCTAAATAGGGATGCTTTTGCGCTTTTTTGAAAGCAGTCACATGCTTTGGGTTTTCATTTTTCTTCAAAGCTATTTCTGCACATTCACAAAAATCATAGGTCTCAAAATCAATGTTTATTTTAACATATAAAATGTGCCACCTAGTACCAATGCTTATAAACATCAGAATGCTATCAGGTTACCATCACTCTGGAAAGGGGGGCAGGACTGAAGTCTTCGGCAGAACAGACTATGTGAGCAGGTAACTAACTGACTGTCACATTTAGAGACTATAGAGTCAAAATCACTCGGTAAATTCCTATTGAGCTACACTCACAGTAATTTAAAGTCTCCTACTGTTTCATATAGTAAGATAGCTTAATGCTCATATTTTTAGTCAAATTTTCCTGGAAGTACATACATGTATTTATGTATGTATTTCATAATTGAAATACATTTTGTGCAATTTAAGCAAATTGTATGAGCCTAAAACTGAGCTTTCTAGACTTAACAAAATTAATTATATAAATACCTCTCTTCTACTCCAAAACTCAATTTGCCATATATCCCTCTCAGGAAGTCACAGTTTAATTACTATCTGCATCACATAGACATGTATGGTACAAGAAAAGAAGAAATACTTTGGTCAGTATAAGTATATAAAACAATGTTCTCAGCTCTTTAAAATAAAAGAACACAAGTATTACAGCTATTTAAAAAGCAATGGAGTGGAAGACATGATAAATGCTGCCTGATGTATAAAATCAAAACCTTAAAAAAATTTTTTTAACTGAATACAAACTAAAATTGCTGGCTTACATTTTAAAGTATTATAAGATACTAATAAATATCTATCCAGAAATTTGATTTATCTCAAATTTCCTCAAAATAAGCAAAGTTAAACAGGTGCTCCTTCACGGTTTATTTCTGGTAGACTTCAGGCTAACTTCAATACCTGTCTTTCCTTGAGAAGTGAATGAGTCCCTAACATTTCTTTCAAGCAGAAGGCTATGCTGAGCTAAGGAACCTGCAGTGGAGGTCAGGCCCAGCGGCAGGCAGGCAGTTGTTTGCTTCATGCAGGCAGTCCATGGAAGTTGCCATGTGTGAACTGGATACTTGAGAGCATGCTGGGAAAAGCTGTGGACAGAATCTCCCCATGCTGTATTCACATGCTTCATTCACATCTTCAGTTGTCTAGGTGGTCATGAGGCTTGGGTAAGATGGCTACAGGCTTCATGATAGATATTTCTAAAAGGAAAAAAAATTCATTTCTCACCAATGAAGTATTCGCTACAGACTAATACTAAATATATAGTAACAATTATGAGGATGACCCACGTTGGGCAGTATTTCGTGCACAGGGTCACTATCAGTAACAGACAGCTCAATGGCACCTGAAAACAACAATAACACTAGGTATTATATCTAATGTGCTAAAGGCAGTTCAAATAAACAACTGTGCAGAAATGTTGAGAAATGTCTCTACTGACATCTAAAGCTCAGGCAGCCACAAAAACAGAGAACTTAACCACTATAAAAATTAAATTCCTTTCTGGTTCAAAAGGATGCACTATGATACTGAAGTCAACACAAAGAATGGGAGAAAAAGTCACGTCTCCGGGGTTAGGTAAGGGTCTAGTGTCCAGATGCATAGAGAACTCTTATAACAAAGAAAGTATAACATGGCAACAGTAACCAAAACAGGCAAAGCATTTCTCCAGTAAGCACAAGAATGCTGCTCAACATTATTAGTCACTAGAGAAATGCAAACCAAAACCTTGCCCATTGTCAGTTTCTTCAAATTTCATTGCCACCAAATCAATTCTGACTCACACTGAGCCTGCAGGACACAGACCTGCCCCGTCAGGTTCCAAGAGAGAAATCTTGCTGGAAGGCGAATGCCAGGTCTTTCTCATGCTGCACAACCCAACTGCTGACCTTTCCATCAAAGGGGAGCACTTAACCAGATGTGGTAAACGATCTCCCCAGGGATCGTTTCATCTCCACGAACATGGCTTTAATAAAAATGAACAATGACCAAACTGGGGAGAGCTTGGGGAATTTGGAATCCTCATCCATTGGTGGGGCTATAAAATGGTGCCAATGCTTTAAAACAGCTTTGCAGTTTCTCAAAAAGTTAAACAGAGTTACTTAACCACCAATTCCACTAAAATCTCTTACACAAATAATCACAAAAGCATTATTTATAATAGCCTTAAAGTGAAGACATCCCAAATGTCCACCTACTGAGACACACACAGGTGGACAGTATGGCATTTTTCTACAAAGGAACATTATTCAGCCATGAAAAGTGCTGATGAATGCTATGCTACAACATGGATAAGCCCTGAAAACAGTGAATACAGCCAAATGCAGGAGGCTACATATTGTGATTCCAACACAGGCCCAGAGTAGGCAAATCTAGAGCCAGAAAACAGACTAGATTTTGCCAGGGAGCAATAATGGGGACTGAGGGCTTGAGATTTTTTAGGGGAGATGAAAATGTTCTACAATTAGATAGTGGTGACAGTTTCTGAACTGTATGCTTTGAAAGAACTCACGGTATGTGAAGTATATCACAACTTTTAAAGTTTCTCTACAAAATCTGCCTCAAAAGATTCTACTTATAAAACAGCAGTTGCTTCAACTACAACTGGTTATGTCACAAAATAACTTTATTATCTTTGTATCTTTAACACTCTTGGTTGATCTGAATTACTAATCCCACCATCCCTGTGGGAACTAGAGGACAGGAAAAGAGTATATACAGATGAATCCGTTATATACTATATACTCATGTATAAGCCGAGTTATCAGTACATTTTTTATGCAGTTGTTGCGGTAAATTAGGTGCCTTGGCTGATATTTGGGTCAGCTTATACTCAAGTATATATGGTATTAAGAAGCCTGGCAGGCTGGGTTTCTGGGGTGGAAGGAGGCCTTCACCCTTGTGAGTTGGAGGTTAAGTCCCAATCACATTCTCATAATTAATATTGTACCGCACTATATACTCCCATAATAGTGCTAAAGTTACCTCTCACAAGCACATGGATGATTGCTATCTAGCCCGCAGCTTTGACTCTAGTAGCAGACACAAGCTATTGCTCTCTAGGCTCTGAAGACAGCTACCCCCTTGCCTGCCCCAGGCACGGGTGTTAGGTTACTCCTCCTACAACTCGGGAACCTTTAGCATTGGGGTACTGCCCACTTTGTTACCTCTGTGGTTACCTATATTTAGGGAGTTTGCACGCCCTGAGTGTACATACATAAGCCTTGGTTGGAAATATACTCTCTCTCTCTCTCTGCAGGATCCTGGCTCCTGAAGCCATGGAAGTCTCAGAGGTGAGCACTTGCATGCTTTACCTTGTCTGATGCCTCTTTGATTTTACTCCTCAATTACACAACTGCCCCTTGGATCCGTTCAATTGTGGGGGCTGGTACCCCACACATCCCCTTTCTTTATACTTCCAATACCTCTCCCTGCCCAGTGAAACAACCAATTATATTTGTTTTTGGTTAAGATTCAGTAAGAAACTACACCATGAACAAATTCCATCATATAACAGATAACAGCAACAAGTGGGGCTTATTAAATTTATCCTTAATTTTAATTAAATACCATGTAGCTGTCTTCTATTAATCACACTTACAAAAGGCATGGGGAATAAAAAAATGGATGCGACACAATTCCTCCCTCCTCCAGGGAGTCTTAGGGGCAACTTGTGCATTATATCCTAAGTATTATAACAGGTCAAGAAACAGGACACAGATAAGTTCTACTTACTGGAAGAGGGATCTTTTATGGGCAGATCAGCCCTATCATATTTCACTTGGTTAAAATTAATTTAAATAACTGGAGAAAGTTCAAAACAGACCTGGTCTTTTCAAATTACCCAGAAAGCATGGCATCTTTTAAATAAGCAAGTCATTTATCAGAAGTGAAACTCAATTATTAAAATACGTAACAAACTTTTCGAAAAGGATCTTTACCAAAGAGTCAGGCAGGTTAGGTGATCTGAACACTGAGAACTGGTGTCTAAGTTCAGCAAAACATAGCTTTCCCCCCCATCTCCAAAAGAATGCATCCACCACACGTAAGCCCCGGCAAATGTCTAGCTGAGTCTCCTCAGAAGATGGAAAGCCGGAAATATATTTACCGATTTTTTTTCCTGATGTATAAAATATGAATATCTTCACTTCGATATTCCTCATCATGTTTTTCCAAAGGAATTTTTTCAAAATCAAAGTCCAGTTGTAGGAGCTACAAATTGGAGAGTAAATAATGTCAAAATTCATTACTGGAAACTGATCTAGGGCTAACAGGTCAGAATGACAGGAACGGAAAGGGGCCTGTGAGAGGCAACTGACCCTGAATGTGCGCTCTGGTTTGCTGCTGAAGGGTAGTTCCTTGGACGTGTACACATGAAAACCTGAGTTAAGCACTTGAACTAGGTACATCCTGCATGTTTTAGCTCAATAGAATGTTTAAAAATATTAAAATTGGAATTACATACTTCACATACAAGAAAAGCATGCTGAGGCAGTCATACATCTTACTCATTAAAACCAAAGTGGGTGAGGGAGACATTGGATGGAGTAAGATATGATAAGATAATAATAAATTATAAATTACCGGGGGTTCGGGGGGAGCGGGGAGGGAGGGGGAAAAATGAGCTGACATCAGGGGCTCAAGTGGAAAGCGGGTGTCGTAAGAATGATGAAGTCAACTTATGTACTAAAGTGCTGGACACAGATGACGTATGTACAGATAGTGATGAGTTGTATGAGCCCCTAATAAAATGATTATTAAAAAAAAAACAACCCAAAAAACCAAAGTGGCCTCGCAGCTAATGAAATTGCAGGGTTGTTGTATGCATGCACCCTGGCTGGTGCCAATGTTTATCATGCTCGGCTGCTAACTAAAAGAGGATTGCGTCCACCAAGAGGTGCCTGTGAAGAAAGGCCTGGTGATCTACATCTGAAAAATCCGCCACTGGCAACCCTGTGGTGCACAGCTCTACTCTTGACAGTAAGTCAGAACTGATGCAATCAATAGCAATTGGTTCCAGAGGCACCCTAACGAGACAGCCCTTATTATGTGGAGGAAAAGCACTTTGGGACTGACTGCATGTACTACTTCTTCAATCTCCCATGGATCATAGTTAATTAACAACAACAACAAAAAGAACCAGAAAATATATATCTATGTCAGAGGATTTTAAAAATGTTAAGGAAAACACAGAAGAAGAAGAAAAAAAATCTACCACTTGCATGCTTCAATAATGTAGTCTAAAAATGTATTATGGGCTGGATGAACAATCTGGAGGAGAAAACAATGGGACTGACAGTTCCGGGGGGGACAGGGAGGGAAGGGAAGAGGTATTAACAAACCCAGGGACAAGGGAACAACAAGCGATCCAAATTGGTGGGGAGGTGGGTGTGGGAGGCCTGGTAGGGCATGACCAAGGGGAATGTAACAAAGAGGAATTGCTGAAATCCTGGTGGGGACTAAGTATGATAGTGGGACAGGAGGAGAATCAAGGGAAATAGAGAAAAGAGCTGGGAGGAAAAGGGCATTTATAGAGGTCTAGATAAAGGCATGTACACATGCAAATATATTTATATGAGGATGGGGAAATAGATTTATGAGCCTCTATTTATAGGTTTAGTATTAAGGTAGCAGAAGGACTTTGGGCCTCCACTCAAGTACTCCCTCAATGCAAGAATACTTTCTTCTATTAAATTGGCATTCTATGA